TATGTTTGTTAACCATAATAAAGGCATAGAATCCGAATGTGTTCAGAAGTAGTCTGGATACAGCTCAGCTGATCTGAATTATCTAGACACAGGAAGAAAGAGGCGAGCTTCCGGATGTTAGAAAAACAATAAATTAATTAACGAGTAACATCCGTCTTAAAGTGCCATAATTTTTGAACTTTTTTGCCTTTAGCAAACAGTTGTATTACCGTATTCCTGGAGTTGTGGCACGAAAAACAAATTTCATACCGCACCATAATTGGCTGTTTGAACCCTGGCGACGAGCTCATTGCTCGCTCGCGTCGCGCAGACCGTTTGCTTTGTTCTTTCTCTTTCGTCTTCCGTTTTGTCTCGTTTTTCTTCCTGATTACGCGCAGCCATTACTGTAGTTATCGTTACAAGGGACAGTGCTGACTACAGCCAAACCACTAGAACAATGTTGACAGCTAAGAAACGTCTCCTTCTCGAACATTTTTGCAACAGTAATTTAAGTTCTCATTGTCTTTCCGTCTTTATTTCTTTCTGTTTGGGGTTGTGTTGCTTCATATTTGCTCCGCCTGTTTCAATGTTTCAGTCCACATATGTCGTGAAAAAACTTGATATCTGTTTCGCGAATATAGTAATTGACAACAGTTGTCTTTGTTGCTGACCGCGAATTACGAAACGCGTAAATTCGTAAACACTATCAAGCCAAGTTTTGAGTTTGGGAGAAAAAAGGAATACCGGAAAGTAAGCTCTCTGAGAAATTTCTGCTTCAAACATTGCCATACATTTAGTTGTAGAGACAAATGCAGTTTTTTTCAGCGAAGCTAAAGGGTTTTGTTGGCTATACTCAACCCTCTTCTTTCCCAGTTTATGACTGTACTTTAAGATGCCTTGTAAAGCTCATTGAGACGCTGTGCACTGTTCAAATACTGAGCGTCATTTTGATAGCTGCCATTGGATGTTCAGAATAGCCATGGGCTTTCAAAACAGGTCTGTCAGTTAGTTGACGTCTTAGGATGGACACTATCTATTTATTTACTTCTTTTCTGATTTATTTGGTCTTAGCTATCATTTTATTATCTTATTTTTTTCACGTTTTACTATTTTTTGCAAATGCTATGAATAAATGATACGTTAGAAACAGAGGTCAAAGAAGAAGTTTTAAGCAGCGGACGGTAAGAGGCACTCTTTATTTTATAACTTTTCTTGGTTTTTATTTTGTTTTATTTAATTGTTTGTTTTTGCTGGAATTTTGGTTATTTTTATTTTGTTGTTCTTTTGTAAATTTTCGAGCTTGATTTATTTTTAAAAAATTTTTGTTGAAGATTAAGCAGTGCAGGAGGTTTTTTTGGTGGTGGTATACCGATGAAAATCTTAAAATAGTTGAATACCTGGTAATTTTCTGTGGGAGTGAGAGCAATAACAGAGGCGAAGAGAAAATTAAAGTTTTTTTTTAAACCATATGTATATAGCGTTACTGATATCATTTTGGGTGAAAAAAGTATAGGGGAAGTATAGATATAAAATAGAAGTTATGCTTTTTTTTTGATAGTTTCAATTTTTTTCTTTTGAATTAACTGCAGGAAAAATGGAGATGATGATTGTTTTAGTTCTGCTAGACGAGTGTCTTCCCGGGTATAGTTTAACCAAAGGATCATGCAAAATTCAAAAACTTGTTTTTTTTTTGGCTGAAATTAACGGATAAATAACGATGAAATTTTTTCATTTATTACTTATATAGCGTGGAATACAGATTTTTTTTTT